CATTTTTATTTAATTCTTATTTGCATGTAGTTTGATTAGGTCCAATATTTCATTCCCTTGCACTTAGTCCACTTGATTTCAAGTTATAGCATGCTCTCTTGTAATTCTAATTTAGATTCGAGTTGAATTAAAGCTCTTTTAATTTACTTGAATATGAGTCCAAGTCCAAGTTCAAGTTTAAGAGTCCAAATCTTGTCCAAGTCTCCTGTGGTCCAACTCAAGTCCTAGATTGAGTTCAAATGTTCGAATCATGTTCAAATTCAGCTCAAGTTTGAGTCCAAGTTTATTGTCATTTCTTTAATGTTCATTTGAGTTCAAGTATATTCCAAGTTCAAATCTTTAACATCTAATTCAAATTGAGTTCATATCCTATATAGTCATATTGAGTTCAAACTTTGGTCCTCAGCTTGTTCATTTAAGTTCAAAACAGGTCTTATGTTCACCTAAAATTCCGCCACCCTCCCAAGGTCTCCCCTGTTTAGGGAAAAACTATAGGAGCCTAGGCCTTCCCACCACACAAAATAAAGGCGTGTATGATAGGTGTCCTTAGACACCGCTGTCGTGGACTTCATTTTGAGAAAAAGGGAGCATCATTGAGTGAGTGAAGTTGAACAACAACGGGGGCCGAAGAAGTGACGAATGGGAGAAAGTTTATTTTATAGTTGGCGAGCTCCCGTTCTTTCTTTCAATCGAAATGTTAAACTTCCGATCCACAGGGAGGGGAAGTCGTCCGAGAGCAAAGTCAAACAACCACGAAGGGCCGGAGAAATACGTGAAATGGAGAACGTAAACTTTAGAACCAACGAACTCCCGTTTGTTTCTTTTAATTGAAGTGTCGTAACTTCCGGTTGGATAGGAAGGGAAGTTGTGGAAGGTACAGAATTGAACAACCACGAGGGAGCTGAGGAGCGGGAGAGTGAAGAGAGAGAGAGAGAGGCCAAAGGCCTCGTTTCTTTGGCTATTTAATGACGCAAGGTTGTGCGACATGGGAGGAGCATCGTGGGCGTGTCTGCGATGTGCGAGGTCGTGCGATGTCAGAGCATGTATGGGATTCTGATCTTTTTTTAATATTTTTTATATTACAGGTCAACAATAATTCCAAATAAAAAATGTTATTATTTAAAACTATTTAAAATGTAAGATTCTACCATTTAAATATAAATTATAATGATCAAAGTGTAGCAATTTTAATTTAAACAATCATGAAAAATCATCATAAGAAATCAACTTTGTTAATATACAAATTGAACTTTTCTACTATAAGTGTAAGTGCAAGGTTGACTACTGGTCATAGACAAGAATATTGTATCATTTAGAAATTGTTTGTACCTTAGTTAAATTTGAAATCCATTCATAAACCTTCATATGTTTTAGTTTACTTATACTCCCTTATTTGACTTGAGTATTATAATCTTTTAAGAATGCAATTGCATCATATACCAATTTTTGATGTACTCATTTTTTCCCCCTTCTTTCTTTTGATGTTATTTTCATGTGTTTCTTTTTAAACTTATATGAGTACTAAAGTAATGATTTTGAAAATATGATTGCTCCTTCCTTCAGTAATCCTAAATTGAAATAATGCAAGGCTTGTTATAAGTTAAATAATTCCAAATTGGAGTTTATAATGATTTTCAACATAATATAAGCACTCCCTCTTCCTAAATTTAGTTATTCAATCTTGTAACAAATAGTTCATGCTTAAGTGTATAGCATTTAAATTCAAAATGAGGTATTAACTTAGATGGATTTCTTAGTTTATTATGATGATTTTCAAGTTATTGTTCTTTGTTCTTTTAAGTTAGCACTTGTAGTTTTATATTATTCTTAATTTTAAATAATGTTTAATTGATATTTTAATTTTGGTTTACTTACCTAACATAGTGTAAATTATGGAGGACATTTCAATAATTAAGCAAATTAAGAATTTTAAGTTTATGAAAATTTAATTAACAACAAATAATAACAAATAAAATAAAGAGCACAAGTAACAAAATAAACAAAACTAATTACTGCAAACAAAATTGATTCTAAACAAAATGCATTAACAAGAACTTGTACATCATGCACTAAACTCATCAAGAGTTACACCATCACAACCATCACAAGGACCTTCCCAAGCAATGAATGTAAAAATAAAGAAAACAAGAACCAACCAACCAACAACAACATCCTTCATCTCCTCCTCATCCTCCTCTCTCTCTCTCTCTCTCTCTCTCTCTCTCTCTCTCTCTCTCTCCAGTTCG